TTTCATATAATATTACAAAAAAGAGAGAAAAATCTGGATGAAAGACATACCTAAACCTTTCCTCCCCTGCTTCAACGAATCCACAGCACAGGTACGCAAAGCGATCATCTACTTCATGGTAACTAGTGACATTCTCCGGAAATTGAGAGAGAGAGAGAGAGAGAGAGAGTTTAGAACTTGGCCAAACAAATTGACTGAAAGTTTATAGTGCTCGTGGGAAAGATATACTTGAACCATTCCACCCCTGATTCACTGAAGTCACAATACACGCACAGAAATCTACTGCAAGAAAAATAGAAAGAGAATAGAGAGACAATGGAAAAGAAATATAAGAAAGAACATGCGACAACTGAGTGTGAAAGACATAAGAAAGAACTTGGGTGATGAAACTGACCTTCAAACTGATGAACTAAAGAATGGAGAGAAATATACGAAAGAAGAACTGGGCTGACCTTCGGCCCCTGTATTTTGTCAAAAACAATGTCTTCCCGCTATTTCTGTTCATCCAAAATAGAAATGGTTTATATCAGGAAAAAAAAACGTGAAGAACAGAGAAATATAAGAAAGAAGAACCTTCGGCCCCCTGTATTTTGTCAAAAACAATTTATTCCCGATACTGATTCTCGTCTAAAATAAAGAAGATGATATGGGTTCTGATCGTGAGAATAGCAAGTAAAAAGAGTTGCAATGTGTTTTTTGTCAAAAACAATGTCTTCTTGATATTGATTCTCGTGTAAAACAAAGAAGATGGTATGGGTTCTGAATTTCTGATCGTGAGAATAGCAAGTAGGAAGAGTTGCAATAAAAAAATAAAAATTACAGAAACTGGTTTCCTAGTTGAATATCATTAGCAAGAGGGTCCTTACAAGAAAATCTATACAAGCTTTGTAAAGATTTCCTTATCTTATTCTTCATTTTCCTGCATTTTCCTTCAAACCAAACATAACTCTAGGACAGACGTGATTTATCGGGCTTCCTGGAATCCTAATCGCATTACATGTTACCAAAATTTGATTGGTGCAGTTCTATGACCTGGTTGGGCCTGTTAATGTGTCATTATGAGAGAGGGAGAAGTCCCCTCCAATGATCCAAAAATATTTCTCCAATAAAAAAAATATGTTATTTGAGAAGGAGAAGTGAGTGATAAGGTGGCTTAATGAGAGAGTAAGAAAAGCTAAAATGAAGAGGGTGTGAGAGTTCTTGCTTGGGATAATGGAAAAAGTTTAGGCTATGATGTGGCATATTTCTACTTTATTATATATATATAGTAATTTTTAAAATAAAAAAAATTATGAAGTGTAGATATTATAAAAGCTGATGATTTAAATGTAAACATGTTTTCCAAATATACTAATTCTTTTGTCATGTGCCATGTTTTCATTTTTTATCTAAATCATATTAAAGTAGAATTTACATTTGTGCCCCACATGCTGACATGTACATCTCAAACTCAGCGTGCATTTGAGAGATGTTCCAAATACATGATTGGGATGTGCTGTGTGGCGCACATTGGGCAAGCTGTGTAAGGCGCCAATGTGATTTCATTAAAGTATTTCTTTTGGCACATTTTCTAAGCCTAATTTATTAGAATATGTTTATGGTAAAGTAAGAGTTATTAAAGTAAAAGGAAGAAGACAATGAAATATAAGTGGGAATTCCAGATCATTTGCCAAATAAATACGTTTTAACACCCTCCCAACATGATCTGCCACTGCACATCTTATACATGGTGGGTCCCAATCTCATGGTTTGATATATAGTGTCAGATCAAATTGGAAGAGTGTCGGCATGTGTTTTGCTGGCAGGATATCCCAACCCAACTCCTGGCATGGAATGGGATCTGCTCCTCACACGTGGGTGTCTCACAGGCACATTCACCATGCATTGGGAACATCTCCCATGAATAATAACTTATAAGTACGGAAGATGTTTTCAATGCATGGTAGGATATGCACGTGAGGCCAGTGTGAGGTGTCATGTGTGAGGAGCAGATCCGGTCTCCTCCTTGCATTCAGACTAGTGTGATAAGGTATCACTAACATCACTCCACCATCACCAATTAGATAAATAAAGCATATGCAACTATGCAAACTCAAATTGAGATCAAATCAGGGGGGGGCTCATTTGAACTCACTCAAGTCTGTCACCAAGATTAACTGAAAATCTTTTTGGATGATATGGGATGGCTACATAATCCTATTCCTCCATTGTTAGAACATTGCCCGAACAGTTTAATTATGAATTTTTAAATCCTTTTTTACTTTTCCTCAAACTCTTTAGCCCCTTCAACTTCTAAAAGATCATTCGTTCTTAGGGTCGGTCTTCTTTGTATAATTAGGAATGGCAACGGGGCAGGGCGGGGACGGGGGGTCTCTCCCTATTCCCATCCCTGCAAAAATCCCCTTCCCCATACCCACAGGGATTCCTATCCCCGTGGGGATCCCCATTCCCCGTGATTCTTTATAATGTTAATCATTTTGTTTTTATTTTTTTATTTTATTTAAAAAAAATAAAAATAAAATAATTAATATTTACAATCGCATTAGAAAATATTCAAACATATTCAACCATATTTTTAAAAATATTAATAAATAGATGTATGTTTACATATTTACATATATAACATATGCATACATATATATTAGTGGGGATCCCGCAAAGCGGGGATCGGGGTCCCCATAGGGCGGGAAGTGCTCTCCCCATCCCCGCTAGTGGGGATGAAAATTTCCCCATCCCCATCCCTGCGGGGGGAAATCATCCACATCCTTACCCCATTCGGGGCAGATCCCTATGGGAATCGGAGAAATGGGAAAAATTACCATCCCTATGTATAACCAAACCAAATCATATCAGTTTTAATTTGCCTCATTTTATCCATCTATTTGAGCTATTCTCAAGTTCCTTGAATAAATTCATTGCTAATTATAATCTTCTTAGTTTTCCCAAACAACCATCTCTCTTTTATAATATAGAAAGCCTAAAGACAATTTCATTACACCAAATCATTCCGACGGTACAAGTAGTATGCATGAAATGTGGTGGTAGAGTCTAAATAGGATCAAACATATTTTAATGCAGTGTAAATGTTTTTATAGTAGATAAAACAGTTCTGTAATAATATAATCGACCGGTAGACTTCTGCAGGGATTGCCATTTTTTCCTATATTTTTTTTATTTTTATAATTATTATACTTTTTACATTTTTTTATGTCATTTCTGTAATTTCAATCATCTTGGATTGGATGGGATCAAATCCGACCCATTCGCATTAACACGAATTGGCTTGGACCCTCTGTCCATGATATTTCAGTCGGATGGGATTCGAACATAGACACATTGGATTGGGCCGGTTAGGGATGAAAATGGATTGGATCGGATTTGAATCAGGGTATATTTGAAACCGATTTGATCGATTTAATCTCATAAATGTTGATCCGATTTCGAATTTAATTAGGATATTGGATATTCAAAACTGATCCAATATGATTTAATTTAAAAATAATAATAAATTATTAAAAAAAGAAAATATAACAGATTAAATAAAGAAAATATAAATATAAATATTTTTTAACTATTTTCATCATACATATTCATATTTATTATAAAATAAATAATATAAAAATTATAAAAATATAAATAACACATATGTATATTATATAAGTAAATAAATAACATACAAGTATGTATTAGATTGGATAGGGGTGATTCAAATCTAAACCTATTTTTAATCGGATCTGATTCATTTGCACCCCTAACTATAACCTTTACCAGTACGATGAATAAAGGAAATTGAAACATGAGGGAAATGTCAATTCCGAAGAAATAAATCATTATAGACTTAACTGTCATTATATTTTATTTTGAACCTTTATTATTTATTGTTTGAGTCGTTGGTTTATCTTCATATACTCCATTGTATTTATATTAACATTATTTATATGAGAATATATAATTTTTTTGTCTCCATACATTTTCATTTAGGGTAAAATATTAAAACCTCCTCCGTAGTTTTGAAAAAAACTGCAATTACGAAAATGTTGGCATAATGTTTTATTTTTTGAAACTACCCATTATACCCTTATATCTATCAATTAAGATGAAAATTTACTAAAATACCCTTAAAGGGGTTTTTCCATGGAATCAAATGGAAAATATGATTAAAGGGGCTTTTTTTTTGGGATTTCGAGAAAGGAGAAGTTAGTCGATGTAATTTTGGTTCTCATTGATTAAGAATTTTATGTTCGTTTTTTTCACATTTATGTGGGGACCAAGAAAGGTTTATTTTTCTAGGTTTTCTTAGGTGTTACTTACATGGATAAATAATATCTATCTCTTAGGTGGATAAATAACTTTCCCACCTAGAGGAAAAGTTGACAACACTTGAATGGAACAAAAATATCCCTTTTTAATAATAAATTTTTATGATTAAGACTAAAATGGTTATTACATTATTTACTTGGAAAGTATGTGTTTTCTAAGAAAAACTTAGTCAAATAAATAATTTACCAAAAAATGAATGAGGTCTAAAAGACTGCAGCTCTCTATGTTTTTCTCGCTTCACTTTTCAGAACCAAAACAGTGAAATAGATCTCATGGATCCTCTTTTTCCACTCTTTCCATTTCCACTGCAGCCGAAACACTGATTTAATTGTCATTCCAAGCTACTTGATGCCACCCAAAGCTTTATTTAAGTTATTTGGACTTGCTTCAGGCCCAGCACATAGGACCATGCTCATTTCCTTATCCTGAATTCCTGGGTTGGGCCCAAGTGGATTCCAACTCTAACATAGCAAGCCCAACATAGACTACTTTACTCGTTTTGAGTTTTTCCTTCTCATTCTCCATTTGGGTTGTTTGGAGGTTGGAGCTGTCGATGACAGGAAACAAACAAACCACTATTGAACTGGTTTGACAGCGATTACTAGCCCCAACATGCCTTTTACTCACAGTGATGTGCTCCATTTTATTAATCTACTTCTCCATTAATAGAAGAGGAATGGTAGTAAGCAAGAATAACAGTTGACATAATATAGATGGCAATGGACCGGGCATACAAATGGGTGACTCAACTCGACCCCAACTAGTAATATCGAACCAGATTTGGCTCGACCATAATCGGGTTAGTGAGTTGGGTGTTCAAATTCTAGATGAATTTATGATAGTACTCTTTGGGTAGGCCATAACAGTTTCCTAAAACTAATGGACAAACAAGATTCTTTTTGTGCCGACAATAAGCAAGATCCCTCGTTGATCAAGTACATTACAATGTTTAGAAAATTAAAAAGAAAAAGAAAGAAAGAAAGATACATTATTTTGAAGCAATCGAATGCACCAACAAACCAAGGTGAATAATTTCATTGTCTATAACCTTTCCGTCTAACTTGGGAGCAGATATCAGGCCTCGACTGGCTGGAAAGCGATTGTCGAGTGGTTGGCAATGTGCAGACTGAACTGTCCTCCTTTCTCACTCACGTCGATGGCCTTCACCCCCTTTGGAGTCTTGAGCTCAAAGTTGGTAACCAATTTCGCAATCACCAGCCCAAGGATTGGCAATGCAAGTATGATGCCGGGGCAGCTACGCCGGCCAACGCCGAAGGGCAAGTATCTGAAATCCACCTTGCCGGTGGCCACTGCATCAATGCCTCCTTCCTCCTCCAGGAACCTCTCCGGCCGGAATTCTTCTGGGTTCTTCCACCATGCCGGGTTGTTGGCGAGCCACCAAGCATTCACGACCACCTTTGTTTCCTTGGGGATGGTGTAACCACCCAGCTTGGCCTCTTCCAGGTTCATGTGCGGTACTAGCAAGGGAATTGGGGTGTGCAACCTCAGCGTCTCCTTCACTGTGGCTTGTAGGTAAGGTAGTTGGCTTAGGTTAGATTCTGTGACTGGAGCTCCCTTAAGGACGGTGGCAATTTCTTCTCGGATCTTGTGCTGGACGGTTGGATGGTTAACCAGCTCAGCAATGGCCCACTCCATTGACCACAGGGTTGTCTCTATGGCTGCAAAAAAGTTTCCATAAAAAAAGTAGTTAAGTTGGTGGAAAAGAGCTACACGAAAGTACCAAATTAAGCTGACACTTGATAGAACATTGAGTCGTCTAGGCCTTTATGAGTTATGACCCAGAATACTCGTCAACCAGAGCCAGAGGGTTCTGAACTTCTGATTTGGGTTCATCTCCATCATCACCATCAAGAAGAAATCCGAAAACGCATGGGCCCACAATTTGTTCCCTACGAACGGTGATGATTGATGAAGACACCCATTTGACCATGAACCCACATGGTTTGTTTCTGGAGTATTGTACATTCAAAAGATATATTCCCTACAGAATTGATGGAGAGGGGCTGTGGGTGGGTCCATGAAATTTTGTTTCTGCTCTCTGCAAAATTATGCAGATGCAGACAAACTTCGCGGCCTTAATTGAAACTTTTGAAGAGGAATAGGTAGAACCCCACTCACCAGCGACATTGATGTTCTCCACGATGTAAAGCACATTATCTTCGCTTATTTCTCCCTTCACCTGAGCATCTATTATGTAATCAATTGCACAGCTTATCTTATGCTTGTCTCCATTGGCAGCCATTATTTCCCTGCAAGAAAATTAAAAATGAGCAGAAGAAAATAAGATAATGAGAAGTGAGAACAACAAATGGGAAACTCAAGCCTAAAAGAATTAATTGGGTCTTCAGATTCAGAGATATAGATCAAGTAATTAATCCAAATTACCTTCTCTTCTCCACGAAATAGTTGTTGAAAAATGCCAACCTCTTCGACTGCAACTCCCTACACTTGTTCAGGTATCTTCTCAAGAAGGGCCTGAGGAAAGGAATGAAATCTCCATAGTTGTAGTCAAAGCTCTGGGCCAGTCGGCTTCTCTCGGAGTTAAACTTGGTGGCCTGGATGAACAAGGGGTCCTCCTGTGATGTAAACTTGGTGTCGAACATCATCCTGTACATAATGTTGTAGAGCATCAACTGCAGACGCCTCCTGATCACGATTCCTTCTTCTCTAACCTTCTGGTTGTTGTACAGATCCTTCACAACCAAGTTCATCTCGTCCTCCCACATATCACTGTATTGATGGACGACTTTGTTAGTGAAGAAGGGGAGCGTCATTATCCGGCGCATCTTCCGCCAGTGGTCGCCGTAGATTGTGAACACCATGTCTTGCCCATTGCCGGTGAATATGTCGAAGACGACGTTCCGTGGCCGGGATCCGAATTCGACGCCCTGTGTGTGTAAGACTTCGCTGGCAAGCTCTTGATCGGAGACCACAACCAAGTTCCTGGCGCCCAGTTTGAGTAAGAAAATGCGGCCAAACTTCTGGCACAAGGAGGCAAGGAACCTGTGGTTGAGGTCATCGCCAACCTGAAGCCAGTGGCCGAAGATTGGGAAGGAGATTGGGCCGGGGGGAAGGTTGCCTTTCTTGTTTGAGGTGATGAAGGAGATGATGAAGAGGAGGAGAGGGAGAGTAATTGAGATCAAGGTTGAAGGGAAAGGGATAGATAAGTAGAAGAATAAGAACTTGGTAGATGATAGAAACATTATTGTGAGAAGTACTAAGGAGATGGACTTGTTAACAAGCTTATCCATGTCTTCTGCAACTCCAGAGCCTGAGAGGAGTAGAGAAAGAAAGTGTGTGTGTGTGTGTGTTGGTTAGAAGGTTGAGGGAGAAAATGGATTTATATATTGAAGGATAAAGGGGGTTTGGAACTGGGAAGGTTGTTGGCGTTTAATGGTTTTAGGGGAAATCAATGGGCTCCCTTCAAACCAAGGTAGGAGAATACAGAGTAGGGACTCTTTTTTAAGTAGTCAAATATGGAGGTTGGTGGGACTGGCTTTAAACTTAGGTATTTTATAAATATAAAATGAATCTATATGAACGCTTACCAAACCTCTATGCAAGGTATCCCATAAGATTGGCTAAAATTCTCTCAACCAAAGAGATTGAAAATTGGGTGTTGTTTGTTTAATCAGTCAGTGAACACGTACCTGATCAGTTTTTGTGTTTCTGCATGAGATCAACTAGGAAATCTGGACCCCTCAAGGTGGTGGGAGGGTCCTTTTTTGTACTGGGAATGTGTGATAATATTAGTGGAATTCCATATTTCACATGTGTTAGTACTGTTTTCCATGGATATTAGCCACTTAAAACTCCTTTTCTTTTGCATAATATTTAAAATAAATTTGATGAGGAAAAGGTTTTAATTTGTCACGTGGCAAGAGATACAGAGCATGTTCTTATAAATTAACCATTTATTTTTTACCGCCTAGCTTGTACTACGGATTAGTTTCACCCTCAGAGCTTTTAACAATTTGTTGTTGGTGATCAGTTTTTATCAAGTGAAGCCCAATTTGGGGAAAATTTGTACACACACACACTCTCTCCTCATCCAATCAGACAAGAGACCCATTAAATTGTCTATGTGCTTACTCCCCAAATCCATTTCAAATTTTCAACCCAACACCCAAATGATATTAACCACTCCGAATTTTAATATCAAACTCACAAAATCAGCACAAAAAAAGCTTTATTTTATACATATGACAAGGAGTTCTTTTAGTGACCACTTGGCACTAAAGACAGAAAATGGGCCCTATCCATTTGCCAGGTACAGATTTCTGACCACCTTAGTTCTAAATGGTTTGACCGCCAAAAGGCAAAACTGAGCTTAAGATTCATCCGCCAAAAGCTAGCACAAGTCAATTGTTTAGATGATCTCTTATGTGGTACCAAACCTGAATATGCGTGACCACCCAACAATCAAAACTTTTCCATGACCTAAGGCCCCTAATTTCCACTAACTCAACAACCCAAATGATATATTAATATATCTTAATAATAAAATTTTCCTAACCATCACATCGGAATCAAAGGATTACTACCCAAATTCTTAATTAGAGACACCGCGTGATTCCATGAGACATACTCCAGGGCTCCAGCACCATCAATCAAATAGTAGAGGATGGGTCCCATAGGAAGATTAGCTGCGGCAAAGATCAATGTTATATAAAAAGCAGTTGGATGGTGGGATTCCCCAAGCTACACAAGAACTCGTTAGAATCAGTTTTTTCTTGTCAATGTTCGGTTGAGGGGGGGCCCTATCCTTGCAAATGGACCAAATGGCAACCTTTTATGAAACTGTTTTGCTTTCCCTTGAAGATTATGTTGATGGGCTCATGCCATTTGTTTATTCCCTCTGCTTTCTTTACTTGTTGGTGGTACTGTGGTAGATAAACATATGTGGGGTTGGTTGGTTGGTGAAGTTGTTGGGCAGCCTCCTTTGAAGGCAGAGTAGCTTGAATAGTTAAGCGTGTATACTAATCCCAAAATGAAGCACTGGTAGATCACACACACGCATATCAAAGTCCAAGGATATGAAGGTCGACACCCATTTCTGAAAGGGTTGACCTCGACCACCTAGTCATAGAATTCAAACATACACAGACACGGCTAGGGCCAACGGAATCCGGATTTGCACCTCACAGACCGCGTCACACCAACCGGGTGCAAATGGATCATCATCCGAAATTCGATTCTATTTTGTTTATAAATTGTTATATTTTTTAAATTTTTTAGAAATTAAATAGGATCATATGATTTTATTAATATATTCGAATTTGAATCTGTGCTTGTGAGATCTAATCGGATCTTCCAATCAGATTGGATCTATCATCTACTATTTGTATTATTAGATTAAATTTGGATATACGTTGATTTCAACCCAATCTGATCCGTTTGCATCCTTATTCATAGCATGTTGCAGTTGTGCATTGAATGTATCTTTTCATAAATAACAATTTACAAGCCAATGTGAGAGATCTCAAGTGCTATGAGGTTGGTGTAAGGCATACTCTGTTAGGAGCTAGATAATCCGGATTTGGACTAAGGTGGGTTTCTATGAAACGGGTCCTTCACCACTTGAGACTTTAAATGGGTTCATTTGGTCGATGAGGGTCGGATTTAACATCCGAAATCCATTTATCATTAGGTGAGTCAGCAAAAAAGTAATGCATTGGGTTTCTGCATACAAGCAACGAGAGAGTTTATCGCCACCAGAATCTAGTACCCTTGTTTGTGCTTCAAAATCCATTCAATTGGGTGGCGAAAGGTGGGCTACTGCTGGACAAGGAATGATTTTGAAAACCGGACTGGACCTGATCATATGGTCAGACCGATTGGTTTGGTCAGTGACCCATTGACTCGGCAGTCGAATTATCGATATCAATCCAATTTTTAAAACCTTCGGATAAGAAATGTAGAATCGAAGACATTCTTCGGCTTGGAGGGTGACCCAAATTTGTATATTGTTTGGGTATATACTATGCTATGTTTGCTTTGAAGGAAAATGAAGGGAAAAGAAGGAAAAGGTAAGGAAATCTTTACAATTCTTGTTTTAATTTCTGTCTTTCCCTTTATTTCCTTACCTTTTCCTTCAAACCAAACATAGCTTAACTAAACCCTGCCAGATGAGGAAAAGGATGTGTCCCAGACAGCCCACACGTGAGCAGGAAGACCAACCAGACTACTAGCTAATACAGAGGCAGGCAGGCAGTCATATGGTCAGGGGTACGAGTTGGGTCGGATCGGTTCAGGTTGAGGTCAACTCTAATTGAATCCAGGAATTTGAAGTCCCATATGTGGGCTGGGGTTAGGCAAATTTCTTCACTTCTTTTTGTCTTAAAGAGAGAATGTTCTGACTTCTTAAATTAGATCAATATTTTCAATCCACTGTTGACTTGGATGAGAAACCGTCTAAACCATCACTGAGCCTTTCCTGAATCTGATTTTTCTAAAAAAAACCCGTAAATTGATGAAAAAAACTGTTTTCTTGGTTAAAGACTCAATTAGTTGAACCGTTGACCCATTTCACCGGGTCACAGGTTTTACAAATTTCTGAACACCATAATTTTGTACTCTATTGTTTAATTGGAGTACAATTTTTTTTTTTTGCTTAATTTTTTGAGATTTCTGTGTTTCCAAGTTGTGTTATTTTTGTTAAAAAAACCCTTTTAACATCAAATTTCATTTTTTTATCTTTTTTATTTATAAATAAATTAAAAGCTGAAAATAAAATAAATTAAATCCAATATAAATCACATATATACATATATTATATATCAAGGTTTTAAAAATTGGATCAGACATCGAATTGTTGTGACCACCAATTCCTGGGTCAAACGGTCCAATCATCTAGTTCAAACAGACGACCCATTCTGACTTGAAAAATAAATAGCAGCCAAATTGTCTGAATTGACGGATCAATAGTTCAACCGCTCAAATTAATGAATCATTGACCAAATCAACAGTTTTTAGTCTAGGAGATTAGCTGACCAGTTTTTGGGTCAATTGGTCTGACTATTCAGTCCGGTCCAGTTTTCAAATCGATGCATACATACTTTTATATACACATGTGTATATCAATTAAATACATGGACCTCTGACCCATCCAACTCAGACAACTGAACCAACGACGGTAAAAGCAGATATAGCCTATGGGTCAATTTTTAAAAACATTGGCCAATTATGTTAATACATGGGATAAAGCTCTGGTGCTTTAAAATTACTATAAATGCCAAAAAAAAAACAAAAAGGTCTGCCTTTAAACTTGAACACATACATGCATGCATATTCAAATAAAATTATATGCAAATATGAAGACATTTCATGTTCAAATTGGTTGAAAGCTTAAGCAACTCTGATCCAGCCGAAATTTTATATATTGAGTTCATAATTTTCAACTCTAACCTTAGCCCGACCTTCAACCCAAATCAACTGTTATGAGAGTTCAAATTAACCCCCCACAAGATTGCCCCCTACAATGTCGCACAGCACATTTCCGCTATGTATTGGGAATATTTCCCAATAATAACATCATTATTTCTAGTATTATAATTGGGAAATGTTCCAATACACGGCAGGAATGTGCTGTAAGACATTGTGGGGAGTTGATTTGGTCTCCTGTTATCAAGGGTTCAGTCTAACCTAGCTCAAATTGCATTTCTAGCTACTTCGCTGATGTGGCCATTGTTTTTTTACCAAGAACAAAACCAAACCAAACCTATCCAACTGTTGGTTTTAGCGGTTCAAGAATTTCCTAATACAGCCGTTTTACAAATAAATATCTACCAATCCCTTATAGTATAATTTGCTAAAACATTCCTTGAAGTTTGGAAATGACAATCACCTCCCTTGAATTCTTTGACACAGTTGCAATTTGCAAATAGATCTCTCTATTAAAATCTTTTAACAAAAGGCATGAAAATGTTCAAATACTCGTGCGATTGCTTTTGACCAAAATATTTATTTTTGAAAATTTCTCTTCGTGTTACTCTAAACCCTTTTAATCTCTTTTTGAGCTTGGTTTATTTTCTAAATTTTCCTTTTATATCAATCATTCAAAGGTAAAACTACAACTTTAAACTCTTTTTTTGTTCATAAATTTTGTATTGTTTTTTATGTAAAAAACAACCTCAATAGTAATTGTATGGGTATTTAGACGTTTTCTTGCTTCTTGTTAAAGAATCTAACAAAGGGGTTGACTTGCAACTATATCAAAAAGTTTGGGGGAGGTGATTGCAATTATCAAACTTTAGGAGAGACTAGTAAACATGTATGTCCATTTGCAGGTGGCAATATCTCTAGGACAAAACTATTTATAATTCATGGACAGTTTCTAAATAGTTATTAATGGGCAGTTTCTAAAGAGAGAGTAAAGGGCATATATACCCTCTTTATGCCCGTTGTATGCTTAGACAAGGGGGATAGAAAGCGTCCAATGAAAATTCTAAAAAGAATGAGCATTCACTCTTCTATAGGTAGTATAGATATAGATTTCAGAAATTGACCTTCCAAAATATCCAATTAATCCTACTTCCATACACCTAAAAATTCTCTCAAAGATTTTAATTAGAGTCCGGATTTTATCCAAAACAAAAGAATTAGAGTCCAAATTTGCTGACCTCAACACATTGCTGGCCATAGTCATCCAACCATATGTCTGGAATATCAGCAATGTGAAGTACAACCGGTGTTCCAAATGTGTGGTTGGTTGAATAGATTTGGGCTTCAATCAATGCAAAGCCCGTTTGGATAGTCTTTATAGACATTGAGAATATCTCTGTACTTATGTGATTTATTTCATGGGGAGATATTCCCAATGCAAGGTTGCAAGAGGTTGTTGTAATGGTATGAGCATTAGCTTTTGTGTTGACTGAAGTCGAATTCAGCCAAACATAGCCAAAAATGTGTTGTCACCAGTAGATCCAAACTCTTCTAATTAAACATCATTAGGCTAGCTTGGGATTTGACGATTTGCCCCATGGTTTTTAAAACCGACTCGGCGACCGAACCGGTCAGGGGTCCGGTTACTGGGTCGAACAATAACCTTTTTGACAAAAAAAAATTAAAAATTAAAAAAATTGAAAAACGGTCTAAACCATTCGAACGGTTCAAACCATTCAAATGGTTAACCAGCCAGTTCAACGGTTTGCTGACCAAAATCAATGGTTTTGGGGAAAAACGGAACCGGTCAAGTGACCAGTTCCTGGTTTTTCTAGTCCAATCCGGTTTTAAAAACCATGATTTGCCCAAAAAGCGCAAAACCATAATTTTAGGCTTTATAGTTTTGGCTTTGTGATATGGGTCTTGGAAGTATTTTGGCTTCAAACACTTAAAACAAATTTTTGCCTCAAATTGGTTCTTCACAGCCCAAAGCTAAAAGCCAAAGCTAATCCAAACAGACTTTTACACATGTTTATAAGCTTTGTAATAGGAAACATGTAGCTGGTTTGCGATGTATTTCATGTATTCGTTTCTTTAAATCCACATGGACCACATCCCACACGTATTCATCCTTTTTCCTTTGAATTTTAGACACTAAAATTTGTCTTTTTTCCCTCAACTTTCCACTAAAAATAGTGCGAAATACATGTATCATATGACCAAATGTCATTCGTGATCAATATGTACATTTCTCCTATCATTCACATCTACCTTCATTTTATTTATTTTTTTTTTTTTTGAAAAATCTATATATCGTAAGAGAGCTTTAACCCAAAATTCCATAGCGCAAATGTAAGACATATCCAATGCGCGTTGAGAATATTAGTCCAACGAGTCCAGCTGGTCTACTCACAAGTTGTTTCCACAGTTCTACCTATGCGCGTTGAGAATATCTCCCTAGATAGGAATGCGTGGCAACAGTTTGTGGGTGGAATCTGGAATTATCATCAACTTTTGTACTTTCACAATATGGATCTTTGACGACCCGATTATCCATAATTATCAACGTCATAAATGACCTCAGTTCCCAAAATCCCACTAATCAAATGACCCGAATAATTAATAAACAAGTAGGTTCTGTTTGACGAGTTCTTGAAAGTTTGGTAGAAAGATGTGGAGTTGGTGTGAAGTTGTTGAGCACTTGAGCCTCCTTTCAACCCCAATTTTATATTCCACAAATAAACTATTCAGCACGGAAGTGGAGATACATCGATCAGAAGCAAGCACATCACACTACACGTCTACGGTCTATCCCATCATGAGCTCCAACTCCAAGTCGATGGGATTTTATTCGGATATTCATTTAGTTTATATTCCAATCCAAGATTTAAATGTTCTATCGGTATCAGTAAGTACCGATACAAGATATATTATTTCAAACCACCAAATCACACTTTATCTTTTGGTAATTACCGATTAGTATATAAAACATATTTTATAATATTTTTATTCATATGTAATTTAAAAGAATACATATTTATATTTAACTCTAACTATTTAAAATAATAATATTCAAAAATAGTATTTTATAAACTAATATCAAATAATCTATCAAATTCAAATTTAATAAAATGATGAGTTTTAATGTTAAAAAATTTATACAAATAAAATATTAATAATAGAATAATTATTTTAAATCTTTAAATTTTATAAATTCGCATGCGGTATGCATCTTAAAATTTTTATGCATTTTTACAAATTATTAATTAATATTTTTATTTACATTATCAAGTAATAACAACACATTTATTATTTACAAAAAATAAAAATACTGTTTACAAAATATTGAAAAATATAACATTCAATAGAATCTATCAAATCCACTAATCTACAATTATTTAAAAAAATGATTTTTTATTTCATATAACTTATATAAATAAAAACATTAATAATACAAGAGATGTTTTAGTAATTAAAAATTATGAAGTTGTATATGATACATCAGAAATTTTAACAAATTTGATATACTTTAAGTTAAGATTATATTTTTATAAATTATTAATTGATATTTTAAATTGCATTTGAGAATTTAACATTTACTTGTTTTTTTGTTAATGTTAAAAAATTAAAATAGTAAAATAAAAAAAAATAATTGATATAATAATTAGAATATAGTAGGTGCATATGTTTAGTGTCTTGGAATCTTGATTGATGCATTATATATAAAATTATATGATATCTACACATCTTGGTATATTAATTGTAATATATTTCTTCATATATACCATTAAAATATACATTTTTATGTATTTAAATACTATTTATGACTATTTTAGTCTTAAATTTAGTGTTATTAATATGATGTGAAATTTGTATGTATTTTCTTAGCATATCCATGTGTTTCCATATTTTTTGTCCATATCCATGTGTTTCCAAAGCGTATTTGTATCCGTATCTAAGTTATCGATATGATACCCGATACCGATACTTTAATCCTTGATCTAATCAGATTAAATACGATCCATTAATTAATAGGATCATATTCAAATCTTTAGGAGTGCAATTTGGGCAAGTTCGGGTTGAAAATTTATTAAAAGTTTAATGGCCTAGGCCAAAAGCCTGGAGTGTAAATTCTTCAAATTGGATACCTAATTTACACCCTAGAAATCTCCTGAATTTCTAAAATTAATTTAAATTTGGTGTCTAGAGAAACTTATTTGTATTTATATATATTTTAAATCTATAATTAACTTTTAAAACTTATATTACTATTACATAATTTTTTATTTTTAATTAAATCGAATATAAATGAATTAAATTCCAATCTATATTTTAGGTATAGATACCTATCAAATATCAGATCAAATTTAGGGATGGAAACAGATCGGATTAGATTCAAATCAACCCTAATTCGAATCCAATCTAACATTGTTCATGACGGATATGATCCAATCCAAAGATTCGATCGAATCTGATAGGACTCAATTTGAATTTGAATTCTATCATTAAATTAGACCATCGGATCGGATCCGATTTGTTTTCTTTAAAAATTAACAAGTTCTTATAAGAAAATTAAAGTATACTAATTTAAATAAAGTAAAAACAAAAAATACTAGTATTTTTTTAAATATTTTCATCATATATATACATGTTTTTATAAAAAGAATAAATAATATAACAAATTTATAAAATATAATATAAAAATATATTTATAAATAAATAAATAACGTATATATGTATTATATATATTTATATTTATAAATATATAATATATATTTAATCGGATAGAAATTATCTAAATCCCAATTCGATTTCTGATCAAATCCTATTATCGGAATTATCTGAATCCCAATTCGATTTCTAATCAAATCCTATTATCCGATTTGAAGATCCGAACAGGGGGTGATCTAAATTCGATTGGAGTCAAATTATGTTTTCAGCCCTAGCACTACCACATGAGAATTGTATTGCTATATAATATGTCCACCTCAAAAATCTGAAATTACAATCCTCTCTTAGCCCCTCCCCTAGATTTTTATAGGAGTGGATTGAACAGTAAAATGCCCGAAAAAAATAACAATTTATATTGACCAAATGCTTCATAGTGAACTGAGGAGTAGCCCAAGATGCATTGGACTGAGAAATAGCCCAATTGATGCATTCAATGAATTTAATGAATATCCCAAGGTGATGCAATTTCAAATCCGCTATCATCACCTCTACAAAAAATCTGCTGTTAATATGATATTGTATTATTCACTTAAGAGTAACGCCCCCTCTGAGAATGTCAAACAGTGATTAATACCCAAAAAAAGCATGAGTTGGGGACTTGAGGCCATCAACCCAAATATATTTTAGGCTTGTGTTTCTTGTCTAATCGGATTGTTTTTTTACGAAATTAAAGGGACAAAGGACGTATAAATCTCAAACACACACACACACACAAAACACAAAATTTTGGGTCAGACCCAAAATCTTTGCCGAGTGAATGACACAGTTCAAACAATTCTAACCGACCGGACCGGGCGGGTTGAAAACACTGCTGCATGTGTGATCGGTCAGTTTCCCACTACCGAGCCAAATGGGAAAATCGAATTAAACGTTCGAGCAGATAACTAACCGTGATGAGCATTGACCAAGTAAGATTTTCAGATCCAGTTCTTTTTTGACCAATATTGACAATTTTAACATGAGCACCGGTTCAGTAAACCAATAAACCGGTAACGAGTGGGTTGCTCGATTTTATGTAGAACCGAATTTGACAACTCTAATACACCGGAAATGTTTCCCCTTTTCCCTCCATGGTCAAAAACCTTCAGAATGACTAGCAGAAATAGGTTGAACGATAAGATGAGAACTTAATTGAGAAAGCTTTTCAGTTTTCAGACATCTTCTGTCCTATTATGGTATTACCTAATATCTCAAAAGGGCGATGGATCCAAACAAAATCCACTTAGCTAGCTTGCTTCATCAAAGTCACCATCAAAAAACGTAGTTTCTCTACAGTCTATATAACTACAAACATATAAACATCCAAAAGTCCAAAATGAGCTAAGCTTCACCTTCACCCTGTACCAGTCGTGTACTGTACATGAACCAGTCAGAAAATTTACATAAAAAATTTTCATGCCCAAGTACCCCTTAGAAGGGGAGCAGTAGTTGCAGTCTCTCCAAATGTTTTAATCAAGTCTGAACAATCGGCTTCTGCTGCTTCCCCTTCTGTCTTGAGCTCCAACCCCAGCTCTTCATCTATGTCATCCGAGGCAGATATGAGCAAGAACTCACAGCCCTCATAGTTCAGGAAGTCCGGAGGATCAGCTGGAGCAAACTTCAGCTTCCCCAGCTGCCCTTGTAAGTTCGCCGGAAAGGCAGCCCTACGCTTTTTCTGAATTCCTCTGAACTGGGATGTGCAATGCTGATCAGGGTTCTTTATCTGTATGACAAATGAACCTTCTCGTTCCACATTAAGCGACTCTTGAGGCTCGCTGCTCTCTCCTTCTGGAGGGAACTCAAGCTTGTAGATCAAGTGAGTGTGCATCTTCCTGCCAGAAGCATGCCTCAGGATTCGATACACACCCTCTCCAAGTGCTCGCGCAGAGGACTGACGCCTGTGGCCTCTTGTAGCAGTGTCATACTCCTCTTTGACGACAGTCCACAAAGAAGAAACAGAATAGAGATTAATAACCAAAGTAACTAAGCATCAGAAAATTGTTTAATCCAGCTTCTGTTGAATGTATATCAGAATCCTTGTTGACTGTATATCAGAATGTATACCTCCTTCTAAAGCAGTCTTTACATCTTCGATCCTTGTTGTGACCATCTCTACGAAACCCCAGTAAGGCTGGCTTTTCTTGCTTGGATCAGGGAGGCTTTTACGACCCATGACAATGAATCGCAACAAGGGTTGCTTCTCAATGTTTACTTCCTTCAATTGAAATTGCAGATTAGTGATGAAGATATTGAATATACTACGCTCTAAGATCTTTGACAAGAGACGCAGAGAACAAATGTAAATTCAGTTCAGTACTTGCCTCACTACCATGGCCACCTTCAGTGCCCTTCTCGTTAGAACTGTTAATGTTTCCACCATTATCAGTACTATTGGCGGCTTCTCTTTTGGCGCCTTCCTTGCCGGAATCTGGGGCCTGCTTTTCTTCGACTACCCTTTCGCCAGACTCCGGCTGGAGAACAATATATAGCCGCTGCACATCATCAGCACTGTGTGCTTCTTCTTTGTTAACTTTTGGCCTATAAAAGAAGAAAATCTCCCCTCTTTCCTACATTTTGCAGGAATACCCATTTTAGCTTAATTACTAGAATTTAATGGTTTCATCACTTCACAACAGTGTACAAGATTCAAAGCATTTTCTTAACTGAAGTTCCACTCAACAGAAAAAATTAAACGAAAAAATAGAAGCAAACTTCAGGGAATGATTTCAACGAAATTAAAAACAACCAACTAGTGTGATTTTATGGGAAGAAATCAATTTGGGTGTACACACACAAAAGTACTAAAAACACCCCAAAAAGGCAAAAAGGATAGAAGGTCCACCAATAAAAAATTAAAACATTCTGAAAACAAGAGCTTCCAATCATCGCAATGAACATATACAACCTAAAACTCCATATAAAAAATAAATTAAACAGAGAGAGAACCTGAATCTCCACTTTGGGTTCGCTTCTTGTCTTCAACTCTTCACCTTGGCCCATTGGCTCGACTAGTTGTTTGTGCTTAGATTCAGAGGAGGAAGAAGAAAGAAAATCAGTTTAATTGAGAATTTGAGATCCTTCTGGGTTTCTCGTTATAAGGAGACAAAATTCCAAAAAGCAGGGAAAGGCTCCGAAAAAAAAAAAGTACGTGGCGACGGTTGTGAACCATCAAAGACACTCGTCAGAAAACAGAAGCCCCACGTCTCCCCCTGCTTAACAGGACGTGGCGTGTAATAGACATGCATACAACTCTTAGCGGGCTTCAACCAAAAGCTACCAGAAGAACAGAAACTCTAAGGGCAAGACTCATGTATTGCATCAAATATTTCCAAAGTCTGTTTCCAGCAGGTCATGACTATTAACTTTCGATTATTAGTTAACGAGCCTGTCATTCATCAAACACTTTAAATCACACAGAAGCGTTGCAAGAAGGTGCTTATGTAAGACACTCAATTGCTTTTTTTGTTTGGCTTTAAATTGATCTTTTCTCTTATAACAACGGTGTCTGATGTTAATGGTTTCGAATGTATTGTTAGTCTACAAAAGATATATTACTGAGACAAGCAAGATACATAGTTCTGGATTATAGGGATACTAGTAGGGTAATAGGAAGTCAAAAAGTGTTAAAGTTTATTATTTTGTTGTTTTTCAAAAGAATAAATTAGTAATCCTATTCTTTTAGGAAGTTAGGTAGTGTTTACCGATTCTTTAGGAAAAATTCATGAGATTAGGAGTTGTTAGTCATGGGTTAGTTGCTGCCTATTTTTCTGTTACGTGCATTTTTAATTTAGTTGTATTTAATGGTTTAAATTCATCAATAAAATTATGCTCTCCTGTCAATAGATTAGTTTTGCCTTTTACATATTTTGATATTTTGTTCTTTTGCAGACAGCCAACAGGCGACAATGGCATCAGACAACAGCTATGTGCAACCAGCAATTTCTCGCTTTGATGGTCATTATGGTCATTGGAGTATGTTGATGGAGAATTTTTTGCGATCCAATGAGTATTGGACTTTTGTGGAAACAGGTGTGGCTGAACCAGCTCCTGGAGTTGTATTGTGAGAAGCAGAGCAAAAGAAACTAGAAAAACGGAAGTTAAAGGATCTCAAGGCAAAGAATTATTTGTTTCAAGCAATTGATTGTTCCATTTTGGAGACTATTCTACAAAAGGATACTTGTAAGCAGATCTGGGATTCCATAAAGAAAAAATATAAGGGCACAACAAGGATGAAAAGGCAGCAGCTTCAAACTCTTCGCAAAGAGTTTGAGATTCTTCACATGAAGCAAGGAGAGTCTGTTGATGAATATTTCTCAAGAACCTTGGCAATAGTAAACAAGATGCATGTCCTTGATGAAAAAATTGAAGATGTGGTTGTGGTGGAAAAGATTCTTCGATCAATGGCTCCTAAATTCTCTTATGTGGTTTGTTCTATTGAGGAGTCAAAAGATCTTGATGAACTTCCAATCGATGAACTGCGGAGTTCTTTGCTTGTGCATGAGCAGAGAATGACAACATCAACATGTTCAACCGAAGAACAAGCTTTAAGCTTCAACTCATGGTGAAAGCTCTACAGGGAGAGGATCAAATAGAGGTCGTGGTCGAGGCCGTGGAAGAGGACGAGGAAGAGGAAGAGGTTCTTATACACCAGATTCTTGGGGCAAAGGCAGAGGAAATGATCACCACCAGCAATCTCTCAACAATGACTCAAAGTTTGATAAGTCCAACATCGAGTGCTACCGCTGCCACAAGTTTGGTCATTACAAGTCTGAATGCACTGCAAGCTCTAACAATGACGAAGGAGAGCATTCCAACTTTGCAGAGAAAAAGGAACAAGAAACACTCTTGATGGCATCTCACCTCAAGGAGGAGCTTGAACCAGACATATGGTATATAGATACGGGATGCAGCAATCTTATGTGTGGTAACAAGTCTTTCTCTTCCCATTTAAATGAAAATTTTTATTCTATTGTGACCTTTGGTGATCATTCTAAAGTAAATGTTATGGGAAAGGGTGATGTTCAAATTAGGAATATAAAAAACATTTGATATAGCTTGAAATAAAGGGTGATGTGCAACCACCATGGATAGGCATCTTGTTTACTATTGCCAAGGTTCTTGAGAAATACTCATCAACAGGCTCTCCTTGCGAAGAGTTTGAAGTTGTTGCCTTTTTACCCTTGTTGTGCCCTGATACTTTTTCTTCATGGAATCCCAGATCTATTTACAAGTATCCTTTTGCAGAATAGTCTCCAAAATGGAACGATCAATTGCTTGAAACAAATAATTTGTTGCCTTGAGATCCTTTAACTTCTGTTCTTCTAGTTTCTTTTGCTCTGCTTCTAACAATACAACTCCAAGAGCTAGTTCAGCCACACTTATTTCCACAATAGTCCAATACTCCTTGGATCGCAGAAAATTCTCCATCAACATACTCTAATGATCATAATGACCATCAAAGCGAGGAATTACTGGTTGCACATAGCTGTTGTCTGATGCCATTGTCGTCTACTAGTTATCTGCAAAAGAACAAAATAAACCCAAAACCCTTGATGGAAGTTTAGTAGTACACAGGAAATGATCAAGCAATGTTTGAGTCCATGATGGCAGAATTCGAGATGAGCAATCTAGGAATGATGCACTATTTTCTTGGCATCAAAGTAGTGCAATCAGCTGCTGGGATTTTCATCACACAAAAGAAATATGCTTTGGGGATCTTGGACAAGTTTCAGATGATGGACTATAACTATGAAGGAAAGAAGATTAATAGTACTTTATACAAGCAAATTGTTGGAAGTTTGATGTACTTAACAGCAACTAGACCTGATATTATGTATGTTGTAAGTTTAATTAGCAGGTTTATGGAATCTCCAATTGAGCTTCATTTCCTTGCTACAAAGAGAATCTTACGTTACTTGAAAGGTACACTTGATTTTGATATCTTATTGGCTTCAATGACAGTGATTATGCAGGAGACTTAGAGGATAGAAAAAGTACTTCTGGTCATGTCTTTATGATGAGTTCAAGGGTTGTTTCATGGGCATCAAAGAAACAACAAGTTGTTACATTGTCTACAACAGAAGCAGAGTTTATAGCAGCAGCTTCTTGTGTGTGTCAATCTATTTTGTTGAAAAGAATACTTGAATTGTTGCATTATTTCAAGCAGGAGAGTATACAGATATATTGTGATAATAGTTCAGCCATTAAACTGTCCAAAAATCCAGTTTTACATGGTAAGAGCAAACACATAGATGTGAGATACCATTTTCTTCGAGATCTCACAAAAGAAGGAGTCATTGAATTAGTTTATTGTTGCAGTGAAGACCAGGTTGCAGATATACTAACCAAGCCTCTCAAATTGGGTGCATTTGTGAAGCTGCGTGATTTGCTTGAAGTTGTTTCATTTTCTAGTTTAAACTGAATGCTGATTGTATAACATTTAATTTAAGGGAGGGTGTTAAAGTTTATTATTTTGTTGTTATTCAGCAGAATAAATTTGTAATCCTATTCTTTAGGAAGTTAGGTAGTGTTTACCGATTCTTTAGGAAAAATTCATGAGCTTAAGAGTTGTTAGTCATGGGTTAGTTGCTGCCTATTTTTCTGCTACGTGCATCACTGATTTAGTTGTATTTAATGGTTTAAATTCATCAATAAAATTATGTTCTCCAATCAATAGATTAGTTTTGCCTTTTACGTGAGTTCTAAACAGTTTTAAGCACTAACAAAAAGAACTCCTACGAATGATGTTTATACCATTTTTCTAATTCATGTGCAGGAACATTGTACTTCCTATTTATATATACAAACTTAATAGAATTAAAGTTAAAGAAATAACTTTATAGTATTAAAAAGTAGTCCAAGGCAAAGATGCTCGGTTTTGATGATGATTATAGAAAAGAAAAAAATACTTGGTAATGACATTCTGGTCTTTGAGTTGCAGAAATGTGTATTGATAGAACTTGAAATTTGTTGGTTTTGATCATACTTGGAGTTGTTTCTTTTCATCTCTTTCTTTCTTTTTCTCTCTGAACTCTAAATTTCTAACCCACAAGTTTTTATCTTTTCTCGTTTTCCATGGGAGAAAGTGGATACATCAGTTTGGATTCTCGAAAGAAAGAATTTTATTTAGTGTAACTGTAACAACACTAATAGCATTGGTAGTGGCATCTAGTATGGTCGCCATGAGAAGCAAACAACAAGAAAAGGATAAAAGGAGAAGTCGCCCAAATCCCAAAATGAGTTTTTGGGGATCTTGAAAAGATTTCGGTAATTCCTTTTAGGAGAAAAAAAAAAGGAACCACAGTGTCTGGTGGTGGTGGTAAACTAATAATGTGTGGGCATGGTGCACATTTTAGCTAGACCTAACTCAAAAGAAAATAGTTGCTTGAGTTTGCAAATTTATAGATCTAATAGTTGCTTAAATTATAAACGATTTGTTACTTTTTATTAATTATTAAATTACTTTATTTATTTAAAATACAGTAATTTCTAGAAATTATCATATTTTCAGAAATATTTCTAACTTCTTGGCTAAAACTAATTAAATGTAATTTTCTTGTAATTAAATATAACTTTTTGGTAATTAAATGTAATTTTCTACTATTTATAGCTTAAATTATATTACTGTTAATTGAAGTTTAAAAATAATTATTGTTAGTTATTTTACTATTAATAATTAAAATGCATTTATTTTTTTCATTATTATTCAGTATTGTTTTGCAATAAAATACAGTCAATTTAATTTTTATTTACTTTTAGTATTCTAATAAAGCTTTAGGTTTTACAGAGTTTTTGGATTTTTAATTAACTTTTTGTGTTTTTTCATTATTATTCAGTAATTTTTGCATATGAGTATTTTTCAATAATTTTCAGCATTTATTTTGCATATTGATCACTACAAAAATAATTTGCATTTGCTTTCAGTAAAAGTAAATTAAATAACTAAATAAATACCATAGTTAAAAAAATACAGTTATTTTTTTATAACTATTTTCAGTTGTACTTTATAACTA